AGAGCTAGCTAGAGCTAGGCAAGAAGTCGAAGTCTATAAAATATGGATCACGTGGTTAAAAATTAGAAAAACATAGTTGTGATGGTAACCAAACACTATCTACTAAAACCATGACAGCCTAAGGTTATTACTTATTAACTCGACCGTGCCCTGAGGCATGTTTTTCATTAAGAGGAAACGGATCGAGCAAAACAATCCGAATACAACACGGCAATAGGAGACTACCAGCGCAAGAGAAAAAAGAACAGCTTCTGCACAAGCGTAGACGCTGAAGGCTGAAGCAATGAGGAACATGCGCTAAGGTTATTACTTATTAGGATGTGCCAAATTTATTTGTCAACTCACGATACTTGTGTGGTTAAAAACAACTGAAAAACATATATATATTTACATTTTGCTTATAAATAAATTTTAGCAAATTGCCCCCTTTGAGCACATGATGTTTTGAAAACGCCCATGTCCATAGAATGATTAAACCATTTACCTTACGTGTATATTTACGCTACTATAAAACCGGGGATCACTGCTGGTTCCAAAATCATCATCTCTGCCAGTTTTTTCAACCGGCAATGCATTATTGATAGTGATGTCTGGAGGTAGCATTGTTGGGCTCATAACTAGGAGTGATGTAGGTTTCCTCCAAATGAAAAAAGAAGAAGAAAGAAAAAAAAAGTACCAGTTGTTGCCGTCCCTTCACCACCGTATCACCATCAGATATTCAGATCCAACACCCCGCTTGCCGAATATGGCCTCCTCGCACCTCGCTACCTGGTAGCTCACTATTGCCATCGCTCACTCTCCAAACACGCCGCCACTGCTGCTCGCTCACTGTGCACGCACCACCGTTCACTTGCCCTCCCCCGCTACCGCCACATGGGGTGGAGAGAAAGAGGTGACCCTAAGCACCCGCAATGGTATAAGCTAGCTACTAGTTCTTAGCGAACTTCTTCGATATTGCTAACTTTAGTAGTACTAGCTAAAAACATGAATAACCCACATGACACTCTCATATGATCTTAAAATGTGTATATGAGTCTAGCTCTTGATAAAAGAGCTAGCTTTTCTCTCTTTTCTATTAAAATATAAAAAAATGTTTAGAGCTAGCTTATAAGTCACTCATTGCGTTGCGGGTGCCCTAAGTACTATCTCATTCCAAATTATAAGATGTTTTGGCTTTTTTAGATGTATAAAAAAAGTGCTAATGTATCAAAAAGTCACCTCTATCGCCTATTCTCTCTCCTTTTCTCTCCCTATGTTAGCTCAGGATCCAAATAAGTATGGACTAACAACTAGTTGGCTATTGAATCTTGACATTTTTTTTGAATTAGCCAATATATAAAATCATGAACACCATGATAAGAACTTCAGCTGGTTCCCTTGCAACGGCCGTGCCGTGGTTGTACTACTACCTAATTACCTATGATATTTCTGGTTGGGACAAGTTTTTGAATGTCAAATATCTTTTCCTTCAGAGGACCGATCAATTTCTTTTTATCCGCTCTGTACAAACATGACACCATGGGACGGCAACGTTTCAATAAATCCTCCACCTATTTGCTATTTTCTTTTCCATCTTATACAGTTACAGGTTTTTTGCTTCTTTTTAAACATTACTCCGTTCCTTTCAAATTATAAGACATTTTGACTTTTCTTGATACACTGCTTTAACTATGTATCTAGACATAGTGTATATTTTTGTGCATAAAAAATGCTATGTGTCTAAAAAGACAAAAATGTCTTATATTTTAGAATTGAGGGAGTAGGAAACCAAACTACCTTCAATAATAATTGATCAGATGGAACCTTTCCACAGAAAATTGGCCATTGATCAGAAAAAAATACTATACTTATTAAAAATAAAAAGAAACAAAGCGTAACCAAAATCAATTATTAAATGTGTTTCTCAAATTGACAGTGCAGATACAGGATGCCTAAGAAATGGTCCTGTTCCGTCTAATCCGATCCATGGAACCAATCAGATGGTAAGACAAGGACGAGATGTAACACCAGGGTCAAAGAAGTCGATCATAGGTATTTTCCTTCTACCCTTGACCTGGAGGGAGGTGAAGAGTTTGGCTCTTGTAGTGTTCACTGGACAGACACTGGTGATGTTCGCTTTCGTGTTGCTGGGAGAAAGTGGCCTATGCCACCTCCGAAAACTGACCGACTTCATTGGCTGCGTGCATCTGGTTACCGTGGTGGTCATTTCATTAGAAGGCCTATACGGCTTTGGTGCTATCGACAGGGCATGGGGACTCGTGGTTGCCAGATACGATGACGTCTCCGTTTTTGGTTTGACGTTTGTATTGACGCAGGAAGCTCTGGAGTATGCTTTGTGGATGACATTTTCTCAGGGCCATGAGAAGGGAGAAGTGGAGGCAGCAGTTATATCAGGGAGGACACGGCTTTCCAGCCGAAATGTTTCTCTCACACTAAACCAACAGTTCTCCCGATACGCAGGCCTTTGAAATGGGTGTCATATATGCAGTCATTCGCGTGCTCAAATGATTCTCCCTGGCGTTCTTTGTGGCTGTCATTATAGTCATTCGCGTGAACATCACCGTAGTAAAGCCGCACTGAGTATCTATGAACAGCACGTGCGTGTGCCGTGTGTGTGTGTGCGTCTCTCTCTCTATATATGTATGTATGTATGTATGTGCATCCATCCATGCCTCTGTTTGGTTCACTACCGAAGTAGCAAACTTGCAGTGGCTGTTTGTGGCTGTTTGCGCGCTGCTGCCGCAGCATCCCTGTTCATTCCTGCGCTGTGGGCTAGAATCCTGTTCATTTTATTTGTCCGCCGTCAAATATTGTCCCGCAATATGTTAGTTACGCTACAGTGTTTTAGTATATAAATGTTTGGTTCACTACAGTAATTATGTTTTGGCATACTTTCTTAGCACCCTATTTCTCACGTTATAGATTCATTTTCTTACTAGATTTTTTCATGAATGTGTATTCAATTTTGATAGCTACACTTTTAGCAGCCACAATTTATCAAAGTTTAGGTGTGACAATGTTCGGCAGCAAACAAAACATATGTAACAAATCATTTGCTACAAGTTTGGCACGGGAGCATTGGCGTGGGCTCGTGGTGTGGAGGAGCATCAAGTTTCTTTTTTTTATGACATTGCATTAGTTTTACTAGTCTATCAATCCATTCTCATGTATGGGTTACAATCTTATATGAAACATATGTGTTAAAAGCTCGTGGATAAATTTAGTACACAACTAATGTCACATCAAATTGAGACTCATCTTTTTAATTACAAAACTAATTACATAGCTTTGTCTCTCTATCTTAGCACATATTTTCTGACATAATACCCATATAGATACTATGCAATAATATCTACACATTTGTGATTCATTTTACAAATTACTATTCTAGTTCTTCTATGCACCTTTGTATAGTATCTCTAGTTCTTCCATGTATAGTATCTTCAACATGTGCTCCATATGTCAGGATGTCATGAGTCTATATTTTGGCTTTTAAATTTTGATTTTATTAGTGGCTAACAATTTTTTATCCATATTTTAAGTTAAAAGTCTAGTGCGATTGCATAAATCTATCTAATGTAGCAAGTTACAAAATCTATTGCTATGGAGTTTAAATATAATGAAAATTAATTATTACTATGTGATTTCCAAGGTAATAATTTTCATGATTACTAAACTAAACTTTAGAAATATATATTATCTTTTGTAAATGCACGTACACTTATTCTGCATTATGGCACACAACATGTGTGTTTATTTCGAACTAGTTTTTAGTATATTAATAGTAATAGAAGTGGCCATTTAGAAACAAACAGAAGTGTATTTTATGGCTGGTTTACATAATAGTATGTGTTAGTTTTAGAACAAAAAATAAGGCAATATTTTTAGTATATATTTAAGGATGGAAAATGTGGGAAGTAGATGTCAATTTAAGTTGTTGCTTATATAATCTATACTCTATACTGACGACAAGGGTGGCTATTAGATGCAAACATATATAGGGGTTACCTCAGATTATTGTTCATGCATAACGATGGAGGGGATAACAAAAATAGATTATATGACTATTATTATCGGTGATAGTTAGAGTTTATGAAATGAAGGCTTTGATTTTTGTAAAGGGTTTTGGGATTTATTATTTCTTACTGCGTCTCTTGAGGATTAATAAGAAGACTCCAATTAGCTCTAGTAGGATGGTCGCAATTTAATGCTCAAATTTTGCACTGGGTCAACACAAAACTCATTGATCTTTTTATTCTTCACATCCTCTAACATTTTATATATCTCATTAACAATTCCGTTTTAGGTGTACGAGATTAAAAAGATACGAAGACTGGCAAGGGAGTTCGCATCAGTGCATCCTACACCTGAAACGGAAGTCTTTAAACGGGAGCTGTTCAAGCATACTCGCATAGCTTTGGAGTACATGGGTGAGAGACGGCCTATAGCAGCTGCCGTGGTGCAAGGAGCCCCTGGTACATCACCATCGCGTGGGAGAAGGGCAGGGGTCGAAATGCAAATGGAGAGAACTGGACAACAAGAAGGTGTGCGTCGTGGTGCAAGGACCAGGAGGCCGACAAATCGTATCAATCAAGAGAATGAACCCTTTGAGATATAGTGGCTCCCCCAGCTATGTCAGAGTTGAGAGGAGTTCACTAATCCCAACTGGCCAAGGGTTAAAATGATGGATTGGCAACTAACTAAGGTCCTACTTGGAACTACTCATGGCATGTTTGGAACCTGGGAATTTTATAAGAATCGTGGAGTATCATAGGAAACAATTCAATTTCACATAAAAACGCAGGAATAGAAAAATTTCCATGCATTCCAAACAAGCCCTCATTGAATAGCTTCTCTATAAAAATGCCCCAAGGCCCAATATCTGGTTCTTTCTCCTTGCTCTAGCCTGAGCCCCGGCTTCAGTATCTCTGTCCATCAGGTCATGACAGCTAGATTATGTTGTATAAGGGAGGAAAACGGCAGGGATCAGGTCATGACAGCTAGATTATGTTGTATAAGGAAGGAAAACGGCAGGGAGTCCCCTCCAGGTCCTCGAGAAACCCAGCCTGCTGGCAGAACTCGACGGTCTCCGCAATTGTTTCCTTTAGCGGCCTGACCTTCCATCCCAGCTTCTTCATCTTATCGGACGGCATTGGAGCTGGGTGGTCCATGTCATAGATGCTCTCCCTACCAATTTTTGAAATCAAGTCAGCTATCCCAACTTCAGTATATGAAGGAACAAGAGAAGTGGTTAAGTAAGAGAAGGTTTACTTACTAATGAAAGGGTACTCATCAGGGTACATGCTCTTCAGCATGTCCAGCAGGCCATGGGCGCTGATGAAATGAGGAGCACAGATGTGCCTGCCGGAGGCTTCGGGTGTCTCATAGACCAGCAGAAGAGCATCAGCAGTGTCCCGAACGTCAACAATGTGCCAAAGTTTGTTCCTCATTTGATCAGGTCCTCCTGCATTTAGATGAAAAGGTAGTATAAGAGGATGAAGCCAAAGCAACAATACAGTAAACTGTAACTTAGTGGATCGCCCTTCTTAAATACGAGTATATATGAAAAGATATGAATTCAGCGCATTGTTTGGTGATTTGTGTGACAAGAAAAACCTTTCAGGAAGTAGACGAGGAACTGGCAGCTTGTGTTGAGTGTTGGCTGCAGAAGAGGACCAAAGGCCACAGCTGGGTTGACACTTACAACATCCAGCCCAGTTTGTTTCCCATATTCAAGTGCAGCCTCTTCTGATGAAATCTTGGCAACAGAATACCAGTTCTGCATTTAAACAGGGCAAAGTGACGAACTCAACTTTGGAAATGAATAACTGTGGAGTAGATTTTGAAATCAGTTCTTGATCTGTTTATTAGGCTTTCCTTGTTTCCATTACTGCCGCCAGTTTTTACAGTACCATTTTTTTCGATTGTAATTAAGATAAAAGAGATAAAACATACAAACGTCCTTGGGCGTATCATTGCAATTAAGATTTGCGTAAGGTCAGACCGTTCTAATGTACTGATACAAGTTACTGATTACTCAGAAGCTAAACAACCAAGAGGCCGTCCTAGTTTACAGTACCAGTTACCTCATCATTCCTGCAGAATTCTTTATCTGACCAGCAATTCTCATCTTTGATCTTGTCTTTGGGCCAATCTTTCGGGTTGATCTCAACAGCAACCATGGATGAAACGACGACCACTCGCCGAGCATTTGCAGCAGAGGCAGCCTTGAGTACATTTATGGTGCCAGTAACAGCAGGACCCAGCATTTCTCGCTGAAAAGTTGTGCACAGCATGATATGAGCACAAAGCATGATAGATAGATATATAGCAGAAAGCTGTGACAAGAAGTTGGAATGCACATGCTTTTGGACAAAGGACATTTCGGTTCGCTTCATATCAGATGAATAGCCAGTATCATTTTGTTTTATCAATGTAATGTCATGAGTAAAAAAGAAATTGTTGAGTCACCGTACCAAGCGCCCGGAGATTTGGAGATGCTGCCAGCCGGCCACACATGTGACGCACCGACAGACCTACCGCAATGCCGCTGCAGCTCTGCCCGCCCCCAATGCTGCCGCAGAGCCGCCAAGGCCACCGGCCCGCCATCCCCTGCGGCCGTGCGCGTCGTGCCCCTGGCCCTTGCCCACTGGGGGCTTGCCGGTTGCGGGTTGTGGCGGCAGCTGGCGGCGCTGCAGCTTGCTGCCATGCTCTGCGCCTCCGCACTCCGCTTGAATCGTCGCGCCGTCGCCTGCCGCACGCCTGCGTTGGCGGCCGTCAAACAGATGCATGAGTCGGCGACCGTCGGGAGAACGGGGAGTCGGGGACTAGGGCCTAACGGGGACGGGGACGGGGACGGGGATCGGGTAGAGGGCGCCGTTGTGGGCTTCGGAGAAGTGAGACGTCGGACACCGCATGGGCCTTATTGGGCTTCGGCTGAATTACAAGAACAGGCTTAGATACTTAGTGAAATGAGAAGGAAATTAAAGGCCAGGTCGGCCCAAGTCGTGAAGTCGTCTTCAAGCTTCGAACTCAGCCGTGTTTCATTAAGGGGAGAGAAAGACCGAAAGAACGGCATACATGGCGCAGGTATATACGGGAGGTCTCATAGCGCAGACTACAAAACCACAGAGGAACTAGTTAGGAACCTAAACGACAAAAAAAGAAAGAAACTGGCAGCTTGTGTTGAGCGTTGGCTGCAGAAGAGGACCAAAGACCAGAGTTGGGTTGACAGTTACAACATCCAGCCCGGTTTGCTTCGCATATTCAAGTGCAGCCTCTTCTGATGAAATCTTGGCAACAGAATACCAGTTCTGCAATTAAACAGGGCAAAGTGACGAACTCAAATTTGGAAATAAATTGACTATGGAGTATATTTTGAAATCAGTTCTTGATCTGTTTATTAAGCTATTTCCTTGTTTCCATTACTGCCGCCAGTTTACAGTACCAGTTACCTCATCATTCCTGCAGAATTCTTTATCATCTGACCAGCAACCCTCATCTTTGATCTTGTCTTTGGGCCAATCTTTCGGGTTGACCTCAACGGCAACCATGGATGAAACGACGACCGCTCGACGGCATTTGCAGCAGAGGCAGCCTTGAGTACATTTATGGTGCCAGTAACAGCAGGACCCAGCATTTCTCGCTGAAAAGTTGTGCACAGCATGATATTGGAGCACAAAGTATGATAAATATAGCAGAAAGCTGTGACAAGAAGTTGAAATGCACATTGCTTTTGGACAAATGACATTTTGGTTCGCTTAATTTCAGATGAATAGCTAGTATCACTTTGTTTTTTCTAATGGAATGTCATAATCTGTCAATGGAATGTCATAAATATTTTTTTTTTAGAAAAGGAGGTTTCCCCTGCTTTACTGATCATAAAGCAATTTGTAGCAACGTTTACAGCATATGCGTATAGGCGCGCCCGCCAGCCAAAAAGGTTCTAAACCATTCCAGGATCAAACACATTGTCCACAAGTAAAATCGAATCAGAACTCGGCTGAATCACAGCGTTGTAGACCAACTCCAAAGGCTGAGATCCCGATGTTGGTGGACTTGATCAGTGCCAACCTATTCCAGGAGGCAGCACTGCTCTTTGTTCCATCTTCTGTATCACCATAATTGTTGTAGGTGTGTCCTTTCTAGGATAAGCATTCATGTCTTTTTTTGCCCAAAATGCCTCCTAAATCTTTAGTTGATTTTTTGGTCAAAAGATTTTTAATTGGTTCATGAGAAATAACTGGTTTTGAGCCTAACTATTTGAAGGAACTGGACTTGTGAGTTGTGGCATGAGATGGGCTTTGCTTCAATACTCCACCTGATTAAAAGTAAACGAATGTTAAACATCTCACAGAAAACTTGCCTCTGGATCGGTTATTTTCCCTGAAGGAACTGGAGTGGCGACATGAAAGACTCCCTGGCATCCTGCGATCGCAGCTGCCGTAGCATCGTAGTCAAGGAGATCTGCCTTGAAAAGCTTGAGGTTTTATGAAGCATTCTCTAAGATGAGCAGTTTTCTTGTCACCTGAAACACGTACAGGTACGACACAGAGCAAAATCGTCAGCTCGATCTCGAGGCTGTCTCGGTAGTTTCCAACTTTCCATTGAACTGCAAGCTGTCTCCGACTCTCCGTAGTGCACATAAACAAAAATGAGCTGCTAAGTACTCAGACGATGGAGTTCTTTGTTACGTACTGAGGTCGCGGACGGTGCCGTGGACGGTGTAGCCGCGGGAGAGGAGGAGCTTGACGAGCCACGAGGCGATGTACCCGCCGGCGCCCGTCACGCACACCGTCTCCCCGCTCCCGGCGGCTTCCTCTGTGCGTCCGGTGGACATCGCTGTTCTGCACCTATCTTGTCGTCCGCTGCTGGTCGTGTGAGGTGTGACTGTGACTATACGTGATGATGGATTACGATTCGAATCTATAGAAATTTAGTAAAAATATAAAAAATGGTTAAAATCCATTCCTACCCAACATAAAAAAAGACAGGGTTAAAGCGCATACGGTTCCCGTCGCGTGTGAAGGTGAGTGCGCGACCTGTCGTCTAGGGAGGGGCGGTTTTACCATGCGGACAGACAGACGATGGCGGGAGAAAAATCCATGTGCATGTCGTTTTCAGATGACATCGGTGGTGATATCAACGGTTAAAAATGATTGTGTTTTGTTTCAAATCCATTTGCACCATTGTGATCTCATCAAGTGAAGAATTGAGTGTTAACTTTGAGTGCTACCGTGTTTCTTAAGTAGAAACTTGAAGATCTGTTACTCTTAGCTTAGTGATTGTTGCCATCATCTAGATGGCCCGGTGGATTCCATTAGGGAAGCTATTGTAAGGAGGCTCTAGAAGTTGTACATGGTCTTGAAACCCACCATGACGGAGTGGCAAATAATAAATGGATATTCACTAGTGGATAGGAGTTTAACCGAGTATTTATAATTCAAGATGCTCCAACGTGGAGTAGAAGTTATGGCAACAATCTGACACTATGAATAAAAAAAATCGAAGGAGAGACCTCGACTTGTGCTATTGAGTACAAGGAGAGGGGGAAGTTTGGTACTAGCCCCTTGTCAAAAAGAAAATTTTAATTATAGTGTTAAGTCAAACCCCCATGTGCCTTCACCCCTCGTGCTTGGAGCTCCACCGCCGTCCCCTACTTGAAGGTCCACCATCATCCTCTTGCTCGGAGCTTCGTTGTTGCCCCCATGCTCGGAGCTCCTCCTCCGTCCCCTGCTCGGAGCTTCGCCTACTGCCCCTAATCCGGTCACGAACCGGCCCAACACCACCGCGTTCCTACGTTGTTGCCCTATTCTGTCGTCTCCCGATGCTGCCCTCTTCCTCGGAGATCCGGTCGCTCGAGTACTCATGCCACAAATGCGGCCCACCGGGAGCTCCAACGCCGCGGTTAGGTCCACTGCTTTTGTCATGTATGTGATAAGCGAACATTTTTTTATCGAGGCGGTTAGACCAACCGCTTTTGTCAAATTTCTAAATGACTAAAAACAAATATTATAACTTAAAACAAATATTTAAGACTTGTGGGGGTACAACCCCAGGTACCCACGGCAAAGGACATGGACCGCACCATCAGGGACGGTCCAGCCCATGACATGAAGACTTGCGACGCACGGCACTAGTCGACGTACACCGCAAGGCATCTAGAAGATATAATTTATTATGACTCTTATTGATATTGTAATCTAAATAGAAAGCCTACCATTTAACTGACTAGGATACTTTTCTTGTAACCCTGTCCCTCCAGAGTATATAAGGAGGGGCAGTGGTCCTCTAGTCGGCATCCCCACATACCTCATCATAATATACAATCCACCACCAAAGATATGGGATGTAGGGTATTACGTCAACTTGACGGCCTGAACCTATTTAAATCGTTGTCTCTGCGTCTGTGTCACCATCTAGTTCATATTACGCGCACTTCCACCGATTCATCTACTACCGTAGGCATACTCCTTGGTAGACTACCGATCATATTTCATCGATAGTGACGCGCCAAGTAAAAGGTGTGCGTATTGATTCTGCGACGAACCAGATGGGAAGATCGAAGAAGCGGTACAGGAAGATCGCTGATCATACCAACGTTGTCTGCGATAACTCGGCATCCAGCGGCGACTTGCTTTCGGTCACGGGCTCCATGATTCGAGGCAACCTGCGACGGCAACCGATGTTCACGGAAGTAAAGCGGCGGACTCGAATCGACAGCATCGATCTACACCCTATGAACTCGTTCCATCTACTAGCCGGCACCAGATATCCAGCTTGGCCCCACAGCTCGGCCTCCACGGCAGCCTGAAACGCCCAAAACGCGGCATCCGCATGGGAGTATTCCAGCAGATCCAATCAAGACCACGCGTCGACTGCATGCAGAGAAAGCCATCACCACGTCTACCTTGGACTGGAGCTTCACGACAAGCCAAGATGGTCAGATGCTTATTAATCTACAGTCATGCCATGAATGCAAGCCAATTACCAGAGCCATGCAAAGCTAATTGCATGTGCTTACGTATATACATCTACATGGAAGGCCAACTACAGATTGCTACGGCATTGCTACTGCACTTGCATGTGCACTTGCACATATGGCATCAAGCATATATATAAATAATTTCGTGACGTCAACATGTGAAAACATGCAAGCAAATCACGGACAGCCTGCTCCGACGGCATACAACGTGACGCACGCACACATCGAGCCATCGAGCCACCAAGCGAGCCGTCCCAGTCACCAAGCGAGCCGCCAAATTGAGCCGCTAAGCGACCCGTCCGAGTCGTAAGCGAGCCCTGCCACGTCACAATGATGATCACCACAAAGAACAACGCTATTACGTCCGTGACCGCCGCCATGACAACAGGTCGGAAAGCTCGAGGGCTGGGCAATTTCGTCGACGCCGACCAGATAACGTCAGACGTTCTAAATAAAGATAAGTACCCTTCATATATGTCCATTTAATACTAAGTACTCTTCCTATATCTCCATTTAATACAATTTTCTCCTCGGTGTTTCTCCAATTATTATTTCTTCGGTCATTTTTATGTTTAATATCTTTAAGATACTCCATTTAATCTCCATGTTTAAACATCTTTAAATGCTCCGTTCGTTCTCCATGCGTAATATCTTTAAGATATTCTCTACCGACTCGCCGACCAGCCACGTCCCCATTCGTGTTATCCAGAAGCGGTCCTGTTCTCGATCTCATACCTACACTAGCACGGGTTCGAGCGCTCTTTGTTATGAGTGGTCGGCAACGGCTCTTCGGCGACGCTAGTACTCAAACGGGTGCCAGCCACTCTACGCTATGTGGTATGAGTTAGTCGGGGCTGGTGATGCGATACAGGACCAACAGGAAGGAAATCATTCATATTTAAAATATGAACAAACTCCAAACAAACATAATGTTTTATTTACAAGTGCTCGACAAGATACACAATGAACTACCTGTTCTACATATTTATTTTGCAGGGGCCTGGTTCAGTCAACGAGCTTATTTTTTACGCTTGGGGACTGGATTAGTCGGGAAAGACAAGAGGATCATTGTCCGGGTGGTCGCACCACCTTGCAGTCGGACTTCGACGCCGACCAACTGGTCGGAACGTTAGGCTCTTGGACTTCATCGCCGACCAGTTGGTCGGACTGCTCGACGCTCACCTCGCCGCCGACCAGTTGGTCAGATTGTTCGTCGCTTCGGCTTCATCATCTGCTACGTTGAGGGGTCACCAGCTAAGCTGGGGACTCCTCGGCATTCGGATTCTTCGTGCAAGAGTTGCCACCTAAGCTGGGGACTTCCTTGGTGGTCGAATTTTGCTATGTCTCATTGGTGTGCTATCAAGTTGCTCCATATTGTTCAGATCAGGGTGCTAATCTTGGACAGCACGTCCGGGGTCTTGATAAATACATGGTAGATGACGTTGGCAAGCTTTCATTAAAATTCTTTGACCCTACTATAAGATTTATTGTTCCATCTTCTAGCAGGCTCGGAGACTACAGTGTGTACATTGCACCTTGTGGTGCATGTACTAATTTCTCTTGTTAATGGTTTTCAGCTAAGCTAGGGACTGGCTGTGATCGGCTAGCATCTGGAGTCTTCTCTTTTTTGACCCTAGCACTACGTGAATCATTCACCTACCACCAGGCTCGGGAGACTAAGTGGCTACACTTCACCTGGCCGTGCATGTAGTGCTTTTTTCCTGATTTATCCTCCTTTTTGACTGAGTCATGGATGGCAATCAACTGACCTCACAAACGAAGTCTAAGTGGCTACACTTCTTCTGAGGGAAAGGATTTTTAAATTTTATTTTAAGCCCCTTACATCCTTTCGGCGAGTCTTAGTTGGTTAAGTCTGAGGTCTGCTAACTAGTTAAACTGGCCGGTAGTTATTTTCGTTGGTCAGCTCACCAGTTAAACTGGTCGGCATCCACTTTCACCACTCGGGTCGCCAGTTAAACTGGTCGGCTTCATGTCAAACTGCTTGAATTTGTTCAAGACGGCTTTGCTCAAATGAATACAAGGAGCTCGAGGACTAGCTGTGGGGGGTATACCCCTAAGTACCCACGACAAAGGACATGTGCCACACCATCAGGGACGGTCCAGCCCACGACATGAAGACTTGAGGCACAGGGCACTGATCGACGTACACTGCAAGGCATCTAGAAGATATGATTTATTATGACCCTTATTGATACTGTATCTTAATAGAATACCCACCATATAACCGACTATGATACTTTTCTTGTAACCTTACCCCTCCTGAGTATACAAGGAGGGGCAAGGGTCCTCTAGTCGGCATCTCCACATACCTCATCATAATATACAATCCACCAAAGACAAATGATATAGGGTATTACGTCGACTTGACGGCCTGAACCTATCTAAATCATTGTCTCTGCGCTTGTGTCAACATCTAGTTCGTATCACGCGCACCTCCACCGATTCATCTACTACCGTAGGCATACCCCTCGGTAGACTGCTGACCATATTTCGTCAACAAGACTAAACTACTTCAAATCAAAAGCTTATCAACTAAAAACGTGTATATCGGGTTGGCCATTACAACTTTGATATTAAATGTGTGAACATTTAAGATTGTTTGGAGATTCTAAATTTGAATTTTAAAATCTAAGAACATAAAAACACATATTTTGGACTTTAAACAACTTTAATAAAGAACTTGTCAACTATAAAGATATATATTGTATTAAGAACTACAACTTTGGTATATATTATGACAACATCCGAGGTTATTTCAAAATTCAAAATTTTAAATTTCATAATCTGAAAACTTAAAACGAACTTTTGGGCTCTAAATAGTTTCAAATAAAAAA